TGCTTTGACGGTCGGGTTGTTCTCGATCTCCCACAAACCTTCGCTGAACCCTTTCCTTTTGTTGGGTTTCCCAAACTTCTCCTTGCATTCTTCATAGGGGAAGAGGTCTTTGGGCCCCAGGAATGCCCTGCTCGGGGGGAAAACGATGAGAAATGGCAGCTGGGGTGTCCCACTCTCCCCCAAAACCCCCCGACCACCCCACCGGCTCCTTCCCCAGTTTTGCAGCACCCGATGCCCCCGGGACCACCCCAACCTCCTGCCCTGGTCCATCAGGCACTGCCCTGCAGAGACCGAGACCCCAAAGGGTTGGATCTCTCCCCGTAGCCCCCCCAAAGCTCGTGGCAGGGCCCCACTCACGTTTCGTGGGTCCCGAAGAAGAAGACTTGGTATTTGTTGGAGGACGATTTCACTGCGGCTTCTGGCATCTCGTCGATCTGCCAAAAAAAAAAGAGGAGAAGGTGAAAAAAAGAAGAGAAGGTGAAAAAAAAGAGGAGAAGGTGAGGGCGCAGCCACCGGGACCTCCCCCGGCACCATCCTGGCCCTCGTGTCCCCGTTCCCGACTCCTGACACCACGAGGAAGGTGCCTGGATCCATTTGGGGCATCGCAGCCGCCCCCTCCCCGCTCCCAACCGCCAACACCCCGAGGGGACGGCGAGGAGCGGCCGCCCTAAGCCCTTGTCTAGACGGGCTCAGACGCATCGAGCTCAGCAAAATCGGGGCCCTGGCCCACCAGGACGAACAACTCCAGCCCGGCCCTCGGGGGGGGCAGCCCTAACACCCAGAGCCCCCCCCGGGTGGGCGAGCAGCCCCCCGGCAGCAGGTGCCGTGGCACCCAGCGGGAATATTCCCGGCGCGCCACGCGGGGAGCGCGGCACCAGCAGCACCAGCAGCTTTTTATAGCATCTAAAAATAACCCCCCCCAGCTCCAGCCAGCGCGGCCATAAATTCCCCAGAAAGCCTCGAAGGAAAAGGGGGAAGGAGAAAAAACGGGGGGGGGCTCGCCGGGGAGCAAAACCCTGCGGGGTCCCGCTGCTGACTCACGGCGTGACCTTGCCTCAGTTTCCCCACGGGGATGCCACCGGGGTTTTTTTTTTTGCCCCCTTCCTCCTGGCACCTCTGAGGGCTGCTGGGGTGGGATGCCCGAGCTGGGGACTCCCCGTGGGGACGGGGACACTCGTGGGGGACATCCCCGTGCCCTCCCTGCTGCCCACGCACAGCTTGGGGGCACCCAGCACCCAAAACCCCACCCTGGGGTGCTCTGGTCCCTGCTGGGCACCGAGCCCTGGGTGTGGGGCCACCGCGGGCAGCGCCCAGCCCCACGCCCTCCTCCCTGCATCCTCCTTCCCGGATCCCTCGGCGCGTTTCGGGTTCGGGGACGTGCCTCCACTCGCCGGCACCCCGGGCTCGGGGCCACGGCCCACGCGTGGGAGCCCTCTGAGGGCCACGGCGCAGCTCCCGGGTCCATTTGGGGGATTTGGGATGGGGAAGGGGCGAGAACGGACCCCGCTGGCACCAAACTCGGCCTCGCCGTCGCGCCCCCGTGCCGGAGCCTTGCCGCCACCGGGCTCCGTCCCCATTTGGTGCTGGGGGGGGGGACGGGAGGAGAAAATCTGAGTCAGAGGGCGGGCGGCCAGCCCGGCCCCGCCAGCAGCGGGGACGTTTGGGGCGGATCACGTTTCTGCAGGTCCTCCCAGGCCACCGTGGGCCCCCCCCGGAGCCTTTTAGGGCCCCCAAATGCCACCCCACTGTCTGCCCCGGCTCCTGTAGGACGGAGCCTCTTCCCCTGAGCTCGGTTTCACCCTTGGGGGGGGCAAAAACCAACCCCAACGTGGCTACAAAGCCTTGGGAGCGGGCCCGGCTATTTTTAAAACCTCCATCCCCGAGCAGAGGCGGCGCACGTGGGGCCACCGCGGCGGCTCCAGCCCCCGGTGCTCGGCCCCGCAGCCCCCCCCCCGGGGATGGGGACCCCCGGGGTGCCACTGTCCCCAAATCTGTCCCCCCCGCCCCGCTGCACGGTGCCACGGCCCCGGCCCCACAGCGGGAGCCGTCCTTGGCCAAGGTCGTGGGTGGGCAAAGGGAGTGCGGCGGGGACCCCGTGGAATAGGGGGGGGTTGGGGACCCCCCCCACGCCATGGGGCCACCCCTTGGTGACTGCTGAATGTCCCCATGGTGCTGGGGGCCGGTCCCTTGTAAAAAGGGCGCGGCCACAGGGGCACCCAACGGGGCGATAGTCCCTTATCTGGCCTTTTTTCACCCAAAACGGGGTCCTCCTGGAAAAGGCCGCGGCATCTCCGGGCGCAGCAGCGGGCGGGGAAGTTTGGGGAGGGGAGATAAGGGGCTGGGGGCCGAGATACCCCAACAGCAGCGCAGGGAGGAGCTGGGGGGGGCTGGAAACGCCTCCCCCCAAACCCCTGGGACCCCCCCCCGGACAAGGGGGCCAGAGCCCACCCAGCTGCTGAAGCACCCGGGGGCATCACCGGGAAGGTGGCACCGTCCTGTCCTTGCATGGGGGGGCAAAAGAAATTAAAAATAAATTAAAAATAATTAAAAATAAATTAAAAATAATTAAAAATAATAAAAAAAGGGGGCTGGGGTGGGAGGGCACGCTATGGGGCAGGATGAGTGCCCCCCCCCGCACGGACTCTGCCCCCAACCTCTGCTCCTGGACTTTGCAACCGGTGCCCGGAGCGGGGGCGGAGCTGCCCAGCTGGGCCCCGGCCGTGCCAGGCCCCGTTGGGGACGGGGGGGGGGGGCGATTTGGGGGCGGGCAGGGGGAGTTCGTTAATTAATTAACGTGGATCCAGCTTGTGGGGGGCCACACGTGCCCACCCGGCTGCCACCGGGGCCAGCTGGCCCCAAAGGGCATTGCTGAGGGGGCTCGGCTTGTCCCCAAGGGCCTGAGCCTGCCCACCCCAAAAAGACCCCAAAAAGGCCCCAAATGCCCCCAAAAAGGCCCCGAACACCTGGTGAAGGGGGTGGGTGACACTCGGGGCCCTGCAGCAGCACCGGTCCCCATAAAAATTTAATAATGGGTTCTAAAAAATAAGGGCCTGGCCACAACATGAGGGGGGGGGACACCTTATGGGGTCAGGGAATGGGGTGCCACCGCCGTCCCCAGCCGCTTGCACCCCAGGAGGGGGGGGGGGACAGCAAAACCCCTACTGGGCCCTGGTGGTGCCAGCCCCCAGCTCACGTGCCTCAGTTTCCCCTCGGGAGATGTTTCCGGGCATAAATCAGGGGGTTTTGGTGAAAGATGGAACAAAACTTGGGGGGGGGGCTGAGCCGGGGCCGCTCGTGTTGCCGGTGCTTTTTTTAGGGGGGGGGACGGGACCCAGGCACACGTGGTGGGGAAACCAACCCCGGCGCCTCTTTGCCCTGGCTTTCTCCGCCACCTCCTGCTCCTGCTGAGCCCCCCACTTGTTTTGGGGTCCTGGGGGGGGGCAAAAAATCCCAAACACCCCCATGGGGACAGGCAGTGTTTCCTTAGGGCGCCCCATTAGTCACGGGCCCTGCCCGCTCCGCTGGAGCGAGAAATGGGATTACTCAGCGGCCGAGGGGGCTCAGGTCCCCCCCCCGGCCCCCAACCCCACAGCCAGGCCCTGAGGGGTGTCCTGGGGGGGGGGTTTGGGGTCCTGGGGGGGGGAACACGAGGTTTTGGGGTGGTTTGGTTTGATTCCTTTCAGTGTTTTGAAGCGGAGGCCGAACGCAGCCTGGCGCTTCCAGGCCTCGGTGGCGGGGATGGGGGGGTCTTGGGGGGGTTTGGGGGGGCTCGTGGGGACCCCCCCATCGAGCAGAGGGTGCAGGGAGGCCTCTGGGCCCCCCCCCCAAAGCAAAGGCGCTTTCGAGTGCGCGTTTCGGGGGCCGGTGCCAAAAGCCAGCGGCTCCCCACCCCCTCCCCGGCCTGGCCGCCAAAATCCCCAGAAACCAAACAAAAGTTGGCCAGGCCCGGGGAGGGGAAAGAGCCCGGGGGGGGGCACCCATGGCTGGGGGGGGGGGGCTCCTCCACCTTCCCCTTTCGCTGCCCACCCCCCAAAATTTATTCCCCCCCCCCCTCCCAAAAGCCAGGCCCGTGTGGGCGCAGCGCGGCCCTGCACTCTGCAGCCAGGCCGGGTTTTATTTTTTTTTTGGGGGGGGGGGGGGGCAAGGAGCTTTTGGTGGTGTGGGGGGGCGAGGCAAAGCCCCCCCCAGCCCTAAATAAAGCCACGGTGTTGACGGGGGGGTAAAATCCACCTAAATCCGCCTAAAATCCACCTCCCCCCCCGCCCGCCCCCAGCTTGTCCCCGTGGGCACGTGGAGGGTTGGGGACCCCCCCACACGTGTGGGACCCCCCCCCAATGTGTGTGGGACCCCCCCAATGTGTGTGTGAGCCCCCCCAGTGTGTGTGTTACCCCCCCCACACCCCATGTGTGTGCCCCCCCCATCTCTATGGCCTCCCTCCACGTTTGTGTCCCCCCCCCCCCACGTGTGCGTGTCCCCCCCCCCACATGGGGGGCAGGATGCAACCAGGACACTTCACCCCCCCAAAAAAAAAACCATTTAACCCCCCCCTCAATGTGCTCTCATAGAGGGGGGGGGCACAACACTCGTGGACCCCCCCCATTTTGCACACACCTGCCTATACCAAGGGGGGGGGGCACATTGTTTCCCCGGGGATATCCAAGCCAATATTCGCCCGTAAAAAATGGAAATTCCGAAAAATAAAAGCCCAAACGTGCCCCCCCCCAAAAAAAAGTGTGTCCCCCCCCACCCCGTGTCCCCCCCCCTCGGTGCTTACCCGGGCAGGCCAGTGCGGGTAGCCCTTCATCTTGGCGAAAACCAGGTCCCCGCATTTGTACTCCTTCTGCCGGTTGGACCGGGACATGGTGGCTGCCGGGGGGGGGGCACAATTAGGGCTGGGGGGGCGGGGGGGGGATAAAGGGAAAGGGGAGGGGGGGGGGGAAAGGAAAAAGGGAGGGGAAAAAAAAAAAAAAAAAAGGGCGAAGTTTGGGAGCCCGGCAAAAAAAAAATAATAAAAAAAATGATAAAGGGGGGGGGGGTAAAAAGCGTGGGGGGGGGGGAAAAAAAGGGGGGAGGGGGGAGGAAGGCGGCGGCCCCCACCGCAGCGCGGGGGGGGGGGGGCGGGGGGGGGCGGCGGCCCCGGTGCTAGGAGCGGCGCGGCGCGGCGGGCCCCTGCCCCATGCAGTTGTTTGTGTTTGAATTCAACTGCGCCCTCCCCCGGCCCCCCCCAAATCCCTTCTTCTTTCCCCCCCCCACCCCCCCCCAAAAAAAAAAAAAAAAGAAAAAAAAAAGGAAAAAAAAAAAATCCCCTCCCCGCCGCTCGAGGCGCTCCGCGCTCCCTTGGCCGCCCTGGCGCAAGCGCGCTCCCGATTTTGCGCGCCCCCCCCCCCCCCGTGTAGGGTCACGTCTGCAAAAATAATTAACACGCCCCTAATTAGCCATGCGTGGGGATAAGGGGGCGGGGGGGAGTTTCTAGGGGGGGTGTTCGGCGCCGTTTGTGAGCCAAGTTTGGGAAGGAAGGGATTTGGGAATGGTATTTGGGGAGAAAATTGGGGATTAATTTGGGGAGAAAATGGGGAATTAATTTAGGAAAGAATTTGGGAAGAAATTTGGGGATGAGTTTGGGAAAGAATGTGGGAAGAGATTTAGGGATTTGGGAAATAATTTGGGAAGAAATTTGAGAATGAATTTGGGAATTAATTTGGAAAATGATTTGGGAAGGAATTTGGGAATTAATTTGGGAAGAGATTTGGGAATTTGGAAATAATTTGGGAATAAATTTGAGAATTAATCTGGGAATTAATTTGGAAAATGATTTGGGAAGAAGTTTGAGAATTAATTTGGGAAATAATCTGGGAAGAGATTTGGGAAGTAATTTGGGAAGAAAAATGGGAATTAATTTGGGAAGATGTTTGAGAATTAATTTGGGAGTTAATTTGGGAGATGATTTGGGAAGAAATCCGGGAATTAATTTGGGAAATGATTTGGGGAGAAAATTGGGAGTTTGGGAAGGAATTTGGGAATTTGGGAAATGATTTGGGGAGAAATTTGGGAACTAATTTGGGAAATGATTTGGGGAGAAGATTGGGAGTTTGGGAATAAATTTGGAAATTAATTTGGGAAATAATTTGGGGAGAAATTTGGAAATTAATTTGGGAAGAAAATTGGGAATTGTGAATTAATTTGGGAAGAAAATTGGGAAATAATTTGGGAAGCAATTTGGGAAATTAATTAAAACACACACAGAGTTTTAATTCCTGCTCAGGGAAGGGGCACCAGGCTGCTGGTGCATCTCTGTAGCCCCGAATCCCAAATTGGGGTGCTTTCATGTTTTTTTTTGCCCAGAAAAGCCCCCAAATCCCAAATATTTTTTTAGGAACTCCCCGGCGCTGTGCGGGTACCGGGATCACCCCGGGTGCACCAAATGAGGCACGAAGGGGAATCTTTGGGTGCTGGGGGGTCGAATTTTGGGGTGCTGGGCGGGTTCCCTCCTGCGTTTCCCCCCCAAAGTTCCCCAAATGCTCGCCTTGGGGTTCTGCACCCCCCGCCCTCTTTCCTTGCCCAAATTTCTCCTAATTAGCCCCAAAACAGCTCAGACAAGCAGCAGGAGGGGGCACAGGACCCCATTGCTTGGGGGGCGCCGCCAGCCCCAAAAGAATTTGGGGAGGCGAAGGCGATCCTGACAACCCCGGACCCTCATCCCCCAGGTCCCTGCCATCATGGCCCCATAACACCCGCACCCCTCGTTTGTGGGGTCTCTCCCATTTCCCTTCCCGGGATCGCGTCCCCGTGGCCGGGGGGAGCACAATGGGGCCGTGTTTTGGGGCCGAGAGCGGGGCTTGCCGTTCGGGCACGGGGGGAGGCCATAATTCTGGGGAAAGGGGTTGGGACCCACATGGGGGAAGCCAAACCGGCCCCACTAGGACAAGCAAAGGTTATGGGACTGGGACACAGACAGGTATGGGGCTGGAGCGGGGTGTAGGATTGGGGCCAGAGCAGGTTATGGGGCCAGGACACTAACGGGTATGAGGCAGGCACGGTGCATGGGACAGATTATGGGGTCAGAGCAGTGTGTGGGATCAGGACAGGCACAGGTATGGGACCTGGGCAGGTTACAGGGCCAGTGTAGTGTTTGGGACTGGGATGGGTTATGGGGTCGGAGCAGTGTATGGGACCAGGACAGGTTACAGAGCTGGTGCAGTGTATGGGACCAGGTTATGGGCTCACAGCAGTGTCGGGACTGGGTTATGGGATCAGAGTAGTATATGGGACTGGGGCACGTTATGGGATCACAGCAGTGTATGGGACTGGGACAGGTTACAGGGCTGGTGCAGTGTATGGGACTGGGGCACATTATGGGGTCAGATAGTGTATGGGGCCAGGGCAGGTTACAGGGCTGGTGCAGTGTATGGGACCAGGTTATGGGGTCGCAGCAGTGTATGGGACTGGGTTATGGGATCAGAGCAGTGTATGGGACCAGGACAGGTTATGGAGCTGGTGCAGTGCATGGGACCGGGTTATGGGGTCACAGCAGTGTACGGGACTGGATTATAGGATCAGAGCAGTGTATGGGACCAGGGCACGTTATGGGGTCGGAGCCGTGTATGGGACTGGGACATATTATGGGGTCAGAGCACTGTACGGGACTGGGACACGTTATGGGACCAGGACCTGCACAGGTACAGGAGCGGGGCAGGTTTTGGGGCCGGTGCCCGTGTCCCCACACCGCCCCGTGCCTCTCGCCCTGCCCAAGGCCCCGGGCGCGGCCCCGCGTCCATTTTCCCCGTGCCCCGCTCAGCAAATGGCTGCACCGGCGGGGGGGGGGGGGGGGGGGGGGGGGGGGCACCGGGCCCGGGGCCTCGCCGTGACAACGGCCCCAAGATGGCGGCGGCGGGCGGGCCGCGGGGCACGCTGGGAGTTGTAGTCCCCGCTCGAGCCGCCCTCACTCTGCTGCGCGGCCTGGGGTATGGGGGCGGCGCGGGGGCTGCTGGGAGTTGTAGTCCGGATGGGGGGGGGGTGGGCACGAGGCACGGGGAGGGGAGAGCGGAGCCCGCTGGGCCTCGACGGGGAGGCCTCGAGGGGGAGGCCCCGAGGCCTTTTCTCCCCGCTCGGCCTCACCACGCGGCCTCCAGGCGGCCCCCGGCCTCCCCGCGCAGCCGCCATGTCAGCTCCTTCCCCCCCCTCCCATCCCCACCTCCCGCCCTTACTCGCGGACTCCATCTCCCATGATGCCCCGCGGCGGGGCCCGCTGGGAAGCGGGCGGTGGGCGGCGCGCGGGGCCTGCTGGGAGTTGTAGTTCGGCGGCCGGGCAACGGCGGCGGCAGAGGCGGAGGGGAAGAAGGAGGAGGAGGGGGGGGGGGGATCGAGCGCGGCCGGCGGCCATTATCTGCGAGCGCTGAGGCCGCGGAGGCTGCTGCGGGGCCGGGGGGGGGTCTCCATGGGGGCTTAACCTCGCCCCCCCCTTCCCTCGTTCGTCCCCGGTAGGCCGCGGCCTAGGCGGGCGGGGCGGATCCCCGGCCTCGCGTAGCGCCTGGCCGGGGGGGGGGCCATGTCCCTGGTGGCCTACGCCAGCAGCGAGGAGGACAGCGACGCGGAGGGGGCCGCGGGGGAGGAGGAGGAGGAGGAGGAGGAAGGGGATGAAGATGATGATGATGAGGGGGGGGGGGGAGGAGGCCGCCGCCCTGCCTCGGCCTCGGGGCCTTTTCGCCGCTTTGCCCCCCCCCAAAACCTCCCGGCCCCCTCCTGGCGGCTTCCCCCCCCCCTCCTCCTCCTCCCCTTCCCCTCCTCCTCCTCCTCCGCCGCCTCCTCCTCTCCTCACGGCCCCCCCGGGGCCCCTCAAGGCCTTTGGGACCCCCTCGGCCTCTTCATCTGGGGGGCCCGAGGAGCAGCGACCCAGGCCCGGGGGGCGGCTGCTGCTGCTGCCCCCCCCCAGGAACACCCCCCACGGGGTTGGGGGGGATCTGAGCCTCCCCAGGGCCAAGAAGAGGACGGAGCCGGTGAGGATCGTGGTGCCCGAGCTGCAGGAGGGAGATGTGAGTATGGAGCCGGCCCCCCCCCCATTGTGGTGGTGGGGGTGGCAGGGAGCCCTGGGCCAGCTGCCGGCCCTGATCCTAAAGCTCTTTGGGGAGTTAAACTGGAGCAAAAACCTTATTTACTGCAGCAAAAACCTTATTTACTGGAGCAAAAACCTTATTTACAACCACAATGCCCCCAAACCCTGATCATTTGCACCCCGCTTTATCCCCCACGCTTTGCAGCCGCGGGGCCGAGCTTGGGGTGTCCCCAAAATCCGCTCCAGGTGTCCTCCAGACCTCGAGGGAATCGTTCCTCTCTCCCCTTTTCCTTCTTTTTTTTAGGGTTGCCCCGTGTTTTATGGGGTTCCGCAGCACCCACACCCAGTGGAGCCCCCATCTCCCTTTTCCCCTTTTATTTTTCTGTCTGTGTCCCCGCTGAGCACCACAACCACGCTGGGACCAGGCAGCGACGCTGCTCTTCCCATCCCAGGGCCCACGTGGGACTTTGTCCGTCTGTCCTGCTGGGGTTGTGGATTTAGGGTCGGCGTTTTGGGGACACGAGGGAGCTGCCCCCATCGCTCGGGGTGGCACCTCTGGCTTTACAGGGGCAAGAAGGGGTGAGAGGGACTCCCTCCCCCTCTTTCCCCCACCCCTTAGCTCTGACAGAAGCGCTGCAGGTCCTCGTGGTGGCGAAGAGAAACACCTTCAAAACCCCAAATTCCCCAAATCCTGCTGCCTTCCTCGCCCCATCCTCCTCCTCCTGCTTTTTAGGTTGCCCCTTCGGGGCGGTTCCTGGGCTGGCTCCTGTCTCCGAATGGCAGCCACGAGGTTTGCCTGGGGCTCCCGACTCTTTTCTTTACGCGTGGCCTCCTTCCTGGGCCTGTTCTATAATTCAGGCAGCGAGCTGGCAGAGCTCCTCGGTTCCTGTAATTCCTGCAAAGTGCTCTGCCGAGCCAGAAAATGATCGAGGCTGCTCAGCACTAAAAAAAAACACCTTGAAAATTCAGGAATTTGGTTTACAAATCCCCTTTTTGCTCCCCAATTTGGATAACCGAGCTCAGGCTGGAGCTCAGCCTTTAATTCTTGCTCTGAGGAGGCTGCACGAGGTGATGCTGCAAATCTTTTTTCTTTTTTTGCTAAAAAAAAAAAAAAAAAAGAAAAGCTTTGCAAAGCTTTTTTCTTTTTTTTTCCCCGTGTTTTATTTTTTGCCCCTGCCTTGACCACAGCAGACGCAGCTGCCTCTAAATAACACCAGGTCTCGTGGCTGTGTGTGCTGTGGGCAGCACATTTACCTTTTTTCTCTCTTTTTCTGCCTCTGATGCCTCAGCAGGAGCGTGGCGGAGCCTGACCACAGCCCCGCTGTTGCTTTTCAGCCGCGGTCCTCACAGCTCCTGAGCCCAGAGCCGTGCTGCTGCGACTCTCTGCTCTTCAAAGCAAAAACTGACAAGCTGTTAATGGCTGAAAGTTGTTTTTTTTGACATCTCAGGTTGTGCTAAGCTCTGTTTCTCTTTCTCAGTCAGATTCGGAGGAAGATGAACCAGCAAGGAAGAAAAATACCCCCCAGGTGAGTGCCGGGGACGCTGGGTTCAGTGAATTTCTCAGGAAATAAGCACTCGGCTGAGCATCTCGGGCTTCCTCCTTTATAAATTAGTCACTCTGATTAGTGCAGAGCAGTCTGGGGATAAAATTCCTGGGGTGGCAAGCCCGTTTTGGGGGAAATTTCCTAAATGCAGGTGTCAGATGAAGGATGCCTTCACCTGGGGAGCGGGCAGATAGCGGCAAGCCCTGCTTTTCCTTTCAAGCCCTGCTGCTGGAAGTTGTGCTGAGCCGTTAACGTCGTTAGGAGTGGGGGGGATAATTAGCAGGGAGTTGTTTGAGTGGAATGGTGTTGCTCACCTCTGATTTCTGTCATCCCCTTGCCCCGTGTGGGGCTCAGCAGGGGCGCGGCGAGGGCTCCGGCTTGTCCGCTCTGCTTCCTCAGCCCAAGAACTTGACGGTGAAAGAGCCCAACCGGTTACTTGTGCCCCACGCCGTCTCGAGGAAAGCATCCGACAGCGCCAGCGAGGCAAAACCCGCCAAGACCCCCTCCTCCTCCTCCTCTTCCTCCAAACCCAAACCTCCGTCCAAGCCGGCGGTGCCCACCACTCCCTCCCCCTCTGCCATCAAAGCCGCCGCCAAGAGCGCTGCCCTGCAGGTAACCAAGCAGATCACGCAGGAGGAGGACGACAGCGACGACGAGCTCGAGCCAGAGAACTACTTCTCCTTGTCTGACAGGAGCCAGCCCGGCCTCGTGGCCTCCGAGCCCTACTCGTACCCCGGCGCGGCGCTGGCGGAGGAGCCGCCGCCCGGGACGGAGCCCGAGCCTCAATTCCAGGACGCTGCTGCCAACGCCCCGCTGGAATTCAAGACGGGCGCGGGTTCCAGCGGTGCTCAGCACGGCTGGCTGCCCAAAGCTGGGGAGGAGTACAGCAGCCAGCCCTACGGCCACTTCCCTGCTTATGGGGACGCTGGCGTGCCGGGGGCGTATTACCAGGTGGGTTAATTGCCCCTCAGGGGGAGCTGGATGGGGCTTTTGTGGGGTTTTTGGGGTTTTTGGGGTTCTCCCCCAGCTGAGCTCGCAGGGATGAGGAGCGGGGATCCGCAGCACTTAGAGCAGGGCTCCTCTGGCACCGCAGCCACGGATGCTCTTTGCTGGATAAATGTTTAATGGGCGTGCTGGCGTTAAAATGCCCCCGGCAGAGCTGCCCCTGCTGCTGGCTGGGTGCAGAACCCGGGCCGATGGCTGCAGCCAGCTGGTTTCGAGCGATTCAGCAGGGCCTTTGCTCTGACAAAATAAAAAAAAACAGGAATGAGAAGCAACAACCACCTCTGCCACGGGAGGAGGCACACGTGTAACGTGCTGCCCTCCCCAGAGGGTGCACAAAATCCTCGCTGAGAAGCCAGCAGCTCACCGGGGAGGGGGAACGAGGCTTGGGGCTGCCTCTCAGAGCCCCCCGTGGGTGCTGTGCTCCGGGATCAGTCTCGTTTTTGCTGTGGTGACCGACTGCTTTCCCTCTGCCGACAGGATTATTACAGCAGCGGCTACTACCAGGAGGCAGAAGCAGCCCAGGGCGCGCCGCAGGAGACGAGCACCGACTCCTCCTTCCTCGACGACGAAGCGGTTGGCATTTTGCTCTCTATCCCCCCGAGGAGTTTGTGTTTAAGCTCTGCTAGGAATGTAGGACCCAAAAGACCCCGGTCCTGAGCTGTGCTCAGTGCCTGGCCGGACCCCATCACTGCTCTGTGGGGTTTAGGGGTGTGTTGTGGGCACGCTGAGCCCCTCCAGCACTGCGTGGGGCTGCTGCAGGTGGATTTCCTTGCTTTCTAAGCTGGTGACTTTGTTATTTCCACCTAGCCCAGTGCTTTTCTCACTGGGGATGTGTGGGACAGCCGAGGTGTGAGGAGCTGCGTTCAGGTACCTTCGTGGTTCCTCTAGCGCAGCCGTGGACTCCCCACAGCCTTCAAACCCTCAAGAACTCGAGCTCAGAAACCCATTTAAGAGAAAAAAAAACACAAACAGCACACCACCTCTCATTGTTGATCTAATCTAGAAGCTGCCAGCCCCGGTAGCTGAAGCAGTGAGTGCTGCAGAAGACAGCCCGTCTGCTGCTCGCTTCCTCTGAGGGGCCTCTGCGCTTTTGAGGTGGATTTGAGCGAGGCAGGGTCTGTCTGGCAGCAGCCTGAGGTGCTTCTCTCGCACTAAAACAAGGGGCTTGAGAGGCTGAGGGGCTTCTCCTGAGCACGAGTCAAAGCCAGGGTCAACGTTTTCCATTCTGCATGGAAAAATGAGGTTATAACCTTGAGGTTAAATAGTTCAGGAGAGTTCTGCTTTGCTACAGATCAGAACATCTTAGAGAAAAAATCCCTTCTTGGGAAGCTGTGTGGTGATGAGCCCCATGCTCAGGGAGCAGAGGGTTGGGCTCCAGCTACCTCCGCTTGCTTTGGGTTTTTGGTGGTGGCGGTGACGTGTGTTTAACTTCAATTTTTTCTGTTCTTCTTTCAGTTCAAACGCCTGCAAGGGAAGCGAAATCGGGGGAGAGAAGAGATCAACTTTGTGGATATCAAGGGTGACGACCAGCTGAGTGGAGCCCAGCAGTGGTTGACCAAATCCTTAACAGAGGAGAAAACCATGAAATCATTCAGCAAGGTGCGGGAAGAGAGGCAGAAGTGCTGCCTGGGCTTTTGGGGATCTTTTTTGGTTCCTGTTTTGGCCACAGCCGGAGCTGTATTGGGCTCTGTGCGGTCAGCAGAGTGGGGAGGGATGGGGGAGCCTCGTCTTGTGAGCTGTGTAAATAATTCAGGGAACTGCAGGGCTTCCCAAAGCCCTGAATGTGAAACCAAAACCTGAAGTGCCTCCGTGCAGGCTCTCGTCTCGTGTCGGTGCCTCCCCAGGCTCAGGTTCTTTGCTCTTGCTTTCTAGAAAAAAGGAGACCAGCCCACGGGGCAGCAGAGGAGGAAACACCAGATCACCTACCTGATCCACCAGGTGAGCGGCCTGGGAAGCGACGGGGACAGAATTAGGGGGCTGGGGACGTGCTGCGGGTCCGAGCTGAGCGCCTGCCTGCTTTTCTTTTTGGCTTTGCTTCACTTTCCCCCTTCCCCTCCCTGCCCGGGCGCGTGCGCAGCTGTGTTTGGTTACGAGACTCTTTCCTTCCTGCCTTCACTCCTCACGGCAGCTCAGAGCCTCCCTCAAAAGCAGCTGCATTTCAGCACGGCCGGGCTGGATTCGTGCTGCTCAGGATGATTTTTGCTGGCTCCTGGAAGCAGCAGGGGCAGCGCCGCTGAGTCAGCGCGCGGCGCCTCGCTGCTAACCCGCTGCTAACCCCGCTCCGTTCCTGCAGGCCAAGGAGAGAGAACTGGAACTGAAAAACACGTGGTCCGAAAACAAGCTCAGCCGACGGCAGACTCAAGCCAAGTACGGATTTTAACGCCTCCAGCCCCACTTTTTGGCTGCTGGCCCGGGTGACCCACGGTGCCAGACCTTCGCAGACCGCCCAGGCCGTGCAGGACGCTGTCCGCTGGGGGCAGGAGGAAGAAGGTTGAAGGCAAACCATTCCCAAAACTCCACCTGGAACCTTTCCCCTCGTCCTCACAAGCAGCACCGTGGAAGGTTGGCCCCGGCTCTGTTGGGTGCAGCTGGCGGCAGCCCCGAGGCGGCTGCGGGGAACTGGTGCGAGGCTCGGAGCTCTGGTCCTGGAGGTGCAGGGGCTGCGCCTCCTCCGAAGCAGCCTCGCCGCTGGAACCCGAGGCAGAGTCTCAATAAACTTCCATTGCCCGCTCTGCTCCTTTTTTTTTGGGCTCGCTGTGCGTTGAGAGTGTAATTTTTCTTCCTGGAGGGCGCTGAGTTTCGAGAGCAAGCCTGGTTTTTGTGTTTTTTTTGTTTTGTTTTTATTTTTTTGTCATTTGATTTGAACCATCCTCGTGGCTGTTTAATTTTGTCTGAGTAAATCCCATGCTCCTCTCGTGGGTGATTTATTCTCTGTGTGTGTCTGTGTGGCTGAGTTTGTGTTTTTTGGGCTTGGCTGCACCGACCTGGCTGTCCCACCGCGTGCTGGGAGGAAGCTCACGTTCCTGCTGCAGAGGAGAAGCAGAGACAGCTCGGAGCCCGGACCAGAAGTGAAAAGTGGAAGATGCAGCGAGCAGCGCGGATCTCCGCCAGCTCCAGACAGCTTTTGGCTGTCCGTGCTTGGTGTGTGTGTGTCATTTTGTCATTTCCTTTTTTTTTTCTTTCCCCTTTTTTCTCCTCCCCCTGACCCAAGGCCTCCAGTGCTGTACCGAGCCGCTCTCCACGCTTCTTGAACCGACTGGCAGGGAGCTCTGAGCGAGGCAGCGTTTCCTGCAGCAGGCACAGCCGAAAGCTGCCTCCTGTACATTTATTTTTCAGCTCTTCAGCTCGTTTGTATCAATTCCCTTCCCCCTAAAGGCCTCGTATCTGATTAAGTGTTACCCCGACCCCGCTGGCTGGGAAGAGGAGAGCGTGGCCAGCCTGAACTTTTTAAAACAAAATCTTTAATTTAAGGTATTGGAGCTCGGTGGAATGACTGCAAATCGTGCAGCCGTGCCCAAATCTCTTTGGCCTCTGGTTTTGTTGTGCACCAGAGCGTGCGGGGCGGTTAAATATTTGTTATTCCACTTAGAAGAATTCCAGCAGCTTGTTTTTTTTTTTTTTTTTCCCCTCCCACGTTACCTGTTAAAAACAAGCAAACAAAAACCGAACCCCGCTGAGCGAATTCTTTTCTTAGGCTGTTTGCAGATGACCCCGATTTCTAGTTTAGCTCCCTGGATGTTTTAGGACTTTGCAGAGCCCCTTTGGAGTATCTGAACGAGCGGAATAAAGTTCCTGTCCGGTAATTTATTCGTTTCTTCTCTGTACACCGAAAATCCTCTGCAAAGAGATTTGATAAAGGAATAAACTTTGAACTGAACCGACCCCCGCCTGTTTCCAGCACGGGGGGCTCGAGGCGGTGCTTCCCCAGGTGTTTTGGGGCAGAACTGGTCCAAAACCGCTCATTTTGGTGCCTTTGCCAAACGCGGTGGTCCTGAGCAGCAGCTCCGTGGCTTTTGCTCTCTGCTCTGTTATTTTTTTTGGTAAAAAATCCAGGTTTCGCCCACCTTGTCCTGGTGGCCTGGGGGCGAGGGCAGCTCGCAGAGACTCGAATTTTTCCCGTTTCCTCGTGTAATTGCCCATTTTTAACACCAGAGGGGAGCTGCGCGGAGGGCGATGGCAGCGGCCGCCTCTTGCTCTGCTTTCGGCCGGGCGACAGCAACCGAGGAAAGGCTCCGGGGGGGGAAAACAGCGGCGATTTTCCCAGAGGTAACCCCCGGCCTCCCTTCCCCTCACCACTTTGAGGCTCCAACACATCCGAGCTCGGGTTTTTGCCTCCCTTGTGCCCGCACCAGGACCCCGCTGGAGCCCCGCGGCCGCTGGCACCGCGGCCAGGGCGAGGAGCTCGGGGTTCAGGGGGTGCAGGGAACACCACGGGGCAGCTCTGGGTTTTGTGGCTTTTTTTTTCTGTCTTTTCGTGGCTTTTTTCCTGGCTTTTTTGGCTTTTTTTCTGGCTTTTGTGGCTGAGCCTGGAGACACCTGCGGGCAGTTTTGGCCTCGCGGCACCTCTCCGGCTCGCAGCCAGCTCGGTGTCAGGATCCGGAGGCAGCAGCCCTGCTTGGAAGCCGCCTGTTTTTCCTAGAGCAGCCTCCTCCTCCTCCGCCCTGCTTCTATTCCGAGCCTCCTCCTTCTGCGAAGATGAATTCGGCGCCTCCTTCCTGCCCCCTCGGAGCCCTCTCGCTCCCGTGGGAAGGGCGCTCGGATCCCGCTGCGGAGCCCTCGGGTGCTGCCCATGGGTTTGGGGCTGCCGAGGGGCCGGTTTCTGCTTTGGGGGGGCTGCTCCTTCCGTGGGGCTGTGCCCCACAACCAGGGGCTCGTTGGGGTGCAGAGGAGGGGGATGTGTTTTGGGCAGGCGGTTGAGGTTTTTCCCGTGGACCTTTCAGGGTCGCTCCTCTCCGGAAAGCTGCTCGTAAATGTTCTCCTGCCCCTCCTGCCCCGGGGGGGCTGCAGTTCTCGTGGCGCTGCTCTTCCTCTGCCCGTAAATGGGGTCGTCAAACTCCATGGAGGGGTTCCTTGGGGTCTGGGGGTGGGACGGGGAGGGAAAACCCCCCTGAGATGGTGCCTTAGCCTTAGCCAGAGAGCCCGGCACCGCGCCACCGCACCTGGAGCTTGGCTCCCAGCACCTCGGTGGTGGGACGAGGGGGGGGACACGCACCTCCAGGGGTGGGCTGGGGGCTCCTCTCAGCCCCCCACCCACGCTGGGGGCCGCTGGGGGCTGCCTCCTCCTGGAAGCTTGGCTGGAGAAGCTGCGGAACAGGCGGCGGTGCGCAGGCTTGGTGGGCGCCCTTGCCTTGGGGGGGGGCAGCGTGGAGAGGGGACCCCGCGCCCCCCTGGGGAGCAGGGGGGGCAGCTCCCTCTGGGCTGGGGCCACCTCGGAGTAGACGTTCTCCTCGGGGGGGGGCTCGCAGCCCCGGCCCATGGCGTAGAAGGGGATGGGCTCCTCCGGCTCCGTGCGCTCGCGGGGCTCGGCGTAGGTGTGGAAGCGCACGAGCTGCTGGTACTTGGCCTCGGGGGGCTCGGGGGGGACGGCTTCACGCTGGCTGGAGGGACCCTCGGGGGCTGCCCCTCCGCTCCCAGCCCGGATTAGTAGCCCCTGGGGGGCTGACGAGGAGCCCACCTTGGCCGGGAGCGGCGGAGGGGTGCTGGGAGCCTGGGGGAGAGGGAAAAAAAGGAGCGAAAAGGAAGGCTGGGGGCAGCCCGGGGGGGCTGTGCCGTCCCCACCCCAACACCATCCCCATGGATCGGAGCCGTCCTCGCCCCAACCACATCCCTGCACCCTGCAGCTGCTCTGGAAGCGCCCCCGTCCCCCCCCCAGCCTTGCCTTTACCTCCCCGGAGCCCCCATCGGTGCCGTCCGTGGCCACCTGCCTGGCTCCTGGTGGCCCCTTGGCCACGGTGCTGTATGCTGGGGTCGCTGGCGATGGGGAGGTGCTGCTGGGGGGCTGCACCCCCCCGGGGGGCTTCTCCTGCTGCGGTGAGAGGATTGGGGTGAGCACAGGGCAGGGCGCAGACCGGGGGGCACCAAGCCCAGGTTTGGTTTTACCTGGTTGCCCCGTGGCCTCGGCACCCCTCGAGAAGCAGGAACGCCTCCGCGGGCGGCGGGGGGCTAACGAAGGGGGTTAATTACAGCAATAAAAGGATAAGGGGGGGGGGAGATCCTCAGATCCTCACCCGTGGGCACGGCACGGTCAGGAGCTCTCGGTAGGGCGCGATGGGGGCGGTGGCATGGTGCCGCAGCAGCGCGCCCAGCTCGGCGTGGGCGCTGCACTCCCCCAGGATCACGTAGCGCCCGTCGGGCAGCTGGTCCAGCACAAAGTGCCTGCAGCGCTCCCTGCCCCTGCGGGGACGGGGACGGGGGGGGGTTAACAGCGGCGAAAACGAGGGGCCGAGCCCCCCCGGCTGGGGTCCCTCACCTGTAGGACAGGACGAAGCCCACGGTGCTCTCGCTGAAGCGCACCAAGAAGCAGCCCGGCGGCCGGTCCCGCAGCAGCAGCTCCGTGTCCCTGCGGGGTGGGGTGGGTGAAGGAAGCTCCCCCATTCCCCTGTGCCCCCCCCCTTACGTTGCGGGGTCGCCCCCCTGCTCACCTGCGGCTGAGGAAGCCGTGGAACCAGGCTGGGAGCTCGCCCTCGGCTCCCAACCTCCCCGCCTGCGTCTGCTCGAACCACAGCCTGGTGCGCGCCCAAAGGGCCACCAGCTCCGGCTGCGCACCCCCCCCGGCCGGGGGCCACCCCGGCAGCGCCTGGGAGGAAGCAAAAAGGGGCTGGGGCTCGGGGGATGCGGGGCAGAGGGTGCCTGAGGATGCCCTGCTGCCCCCCCCGGGGTGGTGGGTGGCTGGTGCCAGCCCCCCAGTCCCAGTCCCCAGCCGTGGGGGGAGTGGGATGGGATTGGGGCCGGGTCGCTGCGCGGTGCTGGACGGTCCCTGCGGGGCTTTTGGGGTGGGGCACGGTACCTGCGGGTGGCTGAGAGTGCTGGGGTGGGGAGCTGGGGGGCCGGACCCTTCACTGCCCCTCGTCCTACCCTGCCCTGAGCATCTGGGGGCTGCTCCGGGGGCTGCTCCGCTCTCGGGGCCTGCGCCAGGCCCCGGCTGGGCGCTGGCTGCGTTGTCCTCGGGTCTGAAGGTGACGAAGAGGGGACGCTCGTGGTCCATGGGGCCGCCGGTCCCTGGCACGCGGAGAGGAAGAGGCTGAGGTGAAGCCTTCACGGGGGTCCCACGCTCCCCCCGTGCTGCCCCATAAGCTCCTCGCCTCCCTCCTCCCCAGGAACCCGCTCGGTGCTGGGGACCAGGAGAAAAACCCCAGGAGGGACCCCAAGAACCTCCAAAACTCGGTGAGGGGAGAGGGAGGGGATGGGGAAACGCAAAACTGTGCCCGGAGGGGACGGGGACCCCGGGCACGTGCGTGTGAGCTCGGGCTCTGCGTGCGCCCAGCGCCCGGGCTCGGCCGGGTGCCGCCAACGCTCGGCAAAACAAAATTAATCCCGACCAGATGCTGGAGGGGGTGGAAGCGGCCGGGGCCGTTTGGGTTACGGGAGGCATCTCTGAGTCACGGGGCTTATCCAGGAGCGGGGTCCCGGTGGGTCCCGGAGCCGTGGGACCGGGAGCTCGGCTCTGCCTCCGCGCAGCACCGAGGGGACCGGCTGGCTGCGGCGCGCCCGGCCCTGAATTGCACCCGAAAACGCACGGAAGGGGGCAGGGAAGAAGCTGACAAAGCAAAAGGGCACGGCCCCAACCTGAGCAAACAGCAGCCGGGCTGGTGCTGGGCTCCAGGGCAGGGCTGGGGCTGCTCCAGGGCTGGGAAGGGCCCGAAGTGGCCTCGAGAAGAGCCAAAGCTCGGCCTCGCCACGTGCCCCTCTCCGTGCCGCGCGCGGGCGGCTCCGTGCAGGGCTGGGTGGGTGCCGTGGGGCGCGCAGGAGCTGCGCCGTGCTCCCTTCTCCCCTCACCTCCTTTATCCTCAGCCCCTCTCCCCCACAGCCCCTTCCCCCGGGGACAAACGGTGACCAGCTCCGTGTCACCGTGCTGCTGCACCTCCCCGTGCTCGGGGCGCGCTTCCCACCCTTTCTGCCCCAAACCCCGCCACGAACCACCCCGGGAAGACCCCAGCCCCTCTCCCCATCCCTCGCACCTACCTCCGCCGGCCAGGACCCCCAAACCCGGGGCGGGAGCCGGGGTCCGTGTGGGGTTTGGGGGTGCTGGCGGTGGGGCAATGCTGCCGCCTCGCCCGCGGTTGCGCCGCCGCTGAGGGCAGGAAGCGGCGAGCGAAGGCGCTGCACCGCGGGGCCAGGAGGGGCCGACGTCACGGAAAGGCGGCGTGGGGCTGCGGGTGGCACCGGCGCCGGCGGGGGCACTTGGGGGGGGGCGGCTCCTCGCCCCTCTCCCTCTCTGCCCCGAGCACCTTCGGGTGCCGGTTCCCTGCTGCGAAAGCCTTGAGGAGTCCCCAGGGGGGCGCGGGTTGCGCCCGGTGGTGGCCGTGCCGATGGGGGCAAAGCTGCAGCCCCTTGGCCGCCCACCCCGCAGCACGTCTGCACCCCCAAAAAAGCTCTTTATTTGTCCCAGCTCTGCCTTGTTTTCTCCCCGCAGGGCTCTGCCCTGCAGCTGGGCAGGACTTTGGGGCTGGAGCTGGCTTCCAGCCCTCGCACCGGGGCTTTGCGCAGAGCCCACGGCGCGACCCCAGCCCCACGGCCGCGGTGGGGGGGCGCGATGCCCCCCGGCGCTCTCCACCTTAAGAAAGCCGTCCCTCCTCTCTCTACCTTCACACCCTCAGCTCTGTTTCCCCTCCGGGCAGTTGGGTTACAATATTTTTATCGGCCGGGCAGGTTTCCTGTTTGCAATCCTCGCGCTCACGGGTGCGGACGGAGCGACCGCGGCGCTGGGTGCCCGGCACCGGCCCCGATCCTGCCGGCTCCCGGCCACCCCTCGAGGGGCCGAGGCGCGGAAACGCCGAGCGCTGTGACCCTACAAGGCCTCTCCCAGCTCCTCTCCGCAGCTGGCCGGGCGGGGACAGCGTGGGGGGGTTCCTCCAGGGACCGTGGGAGCAGAGGCGCGCGGAGCTTTGCGCTTCCTGCTGCTTTTCCTCAGCCTCTCCCCAGCGGCAGCCGGATTCCGGGAAAAAAAGGGGATTTGGGGGAAAAAAAAATCCCCCGCACGGTTGGGTTGCAGGAGGAAGGCTGGAGCTGCGCAGGGAGGTGGTGAGGAGCACAGCGTGGTCTCGTCCCACGGGGGGACGTCGCCCCCGGAGCTGGGCAGAGGTAAGGGGTCCCGGTGAGGTGGGGTCCCGGTGAGGTTGGGTCCGTGGTGGGTCCCGGTGAGGTTGGGGTCTCGGTGAGTTTGGGTCCCTCTTGCGCATGGGTGGCTCCGTCCAGCCCCCGTGGTGCAAATCTCAGCTGTGCCCCGCAGAGTGCAGGGGGGTTTTGGGGTCCTGGGGGGCTCTCATTGTCCCTGGGGGGCTTTGGGAGTCCCTTGGGGGGGGCTTTGTGGCTGGAGTCCTTGCATCCTGACCTATATTTGGAGAGCTTTCTTGGGAACCCCCCCGGGCGGTGCCGCGCAGCCGCCCAGCTCCGCTCGTCTCCATCAGCTGCGTCTCCCTTTGGAGAGCTGCGCCACCCCGGGATGCACCCAGGGTGCACGCTCTGCCCCCGGGACCCCCCCTTGCCCCCTTCGCAGCCCCCCACCCGGGGCTGTTCTCACGGCTGGGCTCAGCCTGCGGTGCGCTCGCTGCGGCATCCTCCCGGGGGGCTGGAAGGAAACTGCCAAAGTGCCCCAAATCCTGGGGACATCTGGGCTGCTGTGACCATGGATGGCAGCCGGACCCCCCCTCGGCCCCCCCCCAGCACTGTCACATGCTGGGGACGGTCACCCGGCTCCAGCCGCTGCCAGCAGCCGCCCCCACGCGCGTCCCAGCACGTGGGTCAGGGACCGAGCGGCGCCTGGCCGGGTGCCCCCCCCCCCGGGAGGGTGGCACCACGGGGTTGTCACCGCAGGGTGCCACCGTCCCCCTGTCCCTGCAGCGAGGAAGAGCGCAGGTGGGGTGAGGAGGAAGGCTCGGGGGGGTGTGGGTCCCCCCCCTTGACCCTGCGCCCTGCCTCGGTTTCCCCTCTTGGCTTGGGCGCAGTGAGGAGCGGTGCCAAAAGCCATCGGTGCGAGGAGCTGGGGGGGGCTCTGCCAGCCCCGCAGCCCCCCCCCCAGTGCCCCCCTTTCTCTTTTTGTCTTTTCAGTGATGGCTGAGGACTGGGGGGGTCGGGGGGGCGGCCTCCAACAGCACCCAGGTGAGCCGCAGCCAGGAGGAGCTGGGGTGGGGGCTCCTGGAGGTGATTTTTGGTGCAAGGCAGGGTGGGGGCCAGGAGGGCGTGGGATGTGCACCGGAGAACCCCCTCCTGCATGCACCTGGGGGGGGGCGCACAGTGCCCTATGGGGGGGTCCTGGGCTGGGTGCAGCCCCCCGGAGGCATTTGGCTGAGCCGGGACCCCCTGCGCCCCCCCGGCAGGATGAAACCTCAGCAGCTCTCACCCTGCACCCGGGCAGCGTGGAGGAGCTCTACGAGCTGCTGGAGACGCTGGGCAGGTGAGGGGGGACCCGGTGGGGTGGGAGCAGCCCCCCCCCTTTTTTTTTTTTTATTTTTTTGCCAGCCTGGATTTTGGGGCTCTCTCCGCAGCGGGCATTTCGGCGTGGTTCGGCGGTGTCCGGCGGCGCAGCACCGGCGTTTTCTACGCCGCCAAATTCGTGAAGACGCGGAGGGGCCGGGGCAGCCGGAGGGGTCTGGAGAGGGCGCAGGTGGAGAGGGAGGTGGGCATCCTGCGGGACCTGCAGCACCCCAACATCATGCGGCTCCACGACCTCTTCGCCAGCAAAAGCGAGATGGTGCTGGTGCTGGAGCTGTGAGTCGGGGACGGGGGGGGGGTCCTGGGTGGGGAGGGGGGTGGCTGAGCCCCTTCTGAGCCCCCCCCAATCGCCGTGCCCGTGCAGGATGCGCGGTGGGGAGCTCTTTGATTTCATCGCCGAGAAGGAGATGCTGTCGGAGGAGGAGGCCATCGGGTTCCTGGCGCAGATCCTGCGGGGGGTGCAGTACCTGCACGCCCGCCACATCGCCCACTTCGACCTCAAGGTGCCCCCCCCAAACCCCCCCCCCTCCGCGTCCCTTCCTCCTCCTCCTCCTCTTCATCGCGGTGCCACCCACACCACGGCACCTCCGTGGCCGCATCCTGCCCAGGGTGTGTGGGTTGGGGGGGGGTGGGGGTGGTTTTGGGGGTGCTGCCCGGCCCCGTTTGCCACCCCCTCATCCTGCCCCCCCCCCGGCACAGCCCGAGAACATCATGCTGCAGGACAAGGACGTCCCCGAGCCCCAAATCAAGATCATCGATTTCGGGCTGGCCCAGAAGCTGGAGGACGGCGTCGCCTTCAAGAGCCTCTGCGGGACCCCCCAGTACATCGGTACCGAGCCCCCCCCCGGCCGGCTTGGAGTGGGGGGGGGGCAGTGGGACCCCAAAAATCCTCAGTCTCTGTGGGAGCAGAGCAGGGAGCAGGGGGGCAGCAGGGGACAGGGCGCCCACCCTGGGGGTCCCAGCCCCTCTGATGTGCGCCCCCCCCCCCCTGGCTCTGCCTTCGCCCCCCAGCCCCCGAAGTGATCAACTACGAGCCGCTGAGCTCCGCGACCGACATGTGGTGAGGAGCAGGGGCTGGGGGGGGGGCTGGGGGGCTGCTGGGGGTGCAGCCCCCCCCTGGGTGCCATGGAGACCCCCGGAGGGCAGCACCTGACCCCCCCGCCCCCTCCCACCCTCCCTTCTGTCTTTTCAGGAGCATCGGGGTCATCACCTACATCCTGTGAGTAGGGGCTGGGGGGGGGGGAGATATTGAGGCAGGGGGGGCTGTGTGCCATAAGGGGGGGGTGGTGGCCGAGCCGGTGCCGTCCCGGTGCTCAGCGTCCCCGCCGTGTCCCCGCAGGCTCAGCGGCTTGTCCCCCTTCCAGGGCGAGACGGACGCCGAGACCCTCTCCAACGTCCTGGAGGGCGCCTACGAGTTCGAGGAGCATCACTTCAGCCAGACCTCCGAGATGGCCAAGGACTTCATCCGGCAGCTGCTGGTGAAGGAACCGAGGTGAGTCCTTGTCCTTGTCCCCGTCCCTGTCCCCGACCCCGTTTCTGTCCCCGTCCCCGTCCCCAGGGTGCCCCCCGTCCCCAGCGCCCCATCCCCTCGTGTTTCAGGGAGCGCATGACGGCGTCCGAGTGCCTCGTCCACCCCTGGATCAAGGTGAGAGGGAGCTGGGGCGGGAGCAGGGCTGGGGCTGGGGGCTGGGGGGCCGGGGGGCTGGGTCCCCCCCCCATCCCCGGGCACCGTGTACCAGGGGAGGGGGCGTGGGGACGATGCCCGGCTTGGCCCCCCGCAGCCCCTGAGCAGGAAGCAGGCGGCGAAGCGGAGCCGTTCCTCCATCAACATGAAAAACTTCCGCAAGTTCAACGCCCGGAGGAAGTGGAAGGTGAAAGGAAAAAGGGGGGGGGACACCCTGGTGCCGTGGGGGGGGGACACCGTGGTGCCGGGGGGGGGGGGCACCGTGGTGCCGTGGGGGGGGACACACCGCGGTGCTTGGTGCCACCACCCTAGGGTGCTCAGGGCGCCGCGCTCCGCTCCTGGGTGGGCGCATTTGGGGAGGGGGCTGTGTTGGGGTCGGCACCGTAACGCTGCTGTCTGGGGGTGGGAGAGGAGGGGATGAGCCCCCCCCCGGACCCCCACCTTGCTGCCCCCCCCTCCCCAGCTCTCCTACAACATGGTGTCCGCCTGCAACCGGCTGTGCCGCATGCGGCTGCTCTGCGGCCCGCGCACGGAGGACGAGGAGCTGGTGAGAGGCTGGGGAGGGGGGCAATGGGTATTTGGGGGGGGGTCGTGCAATGGGGTGCCCCCTGCATGGGGTGCCCGGGGGTCCTCCCCGTGCCCTCCAGCCCCTCTGTGCCCCCCCAGCGCGGCTGCGAGAGCGAGCAGGAGGACGAGGGCAGCCACCCCGCCACGCTGCTGCGCCGGCGGAGAAGCAGCTGCTCCTGAGCCCCCCCCTTGGGGAGGGGACCCCAAAACGGGGCCACACCACAAGAGGGGCCTCGGGGGGGCCCCCCCATTCCGGTGGGACCCCCCCATTCCGGTGGCTTCGAGCACCTGGGAGCTGGGGCTGCTGCCCAGCCCCAGTGCTCCCAGTCCTGCGGTGCTGGAGGGGCGCTGGGGCAGTGCCCCCGGACCGGGCTCTGCTGCTGGACCCCCCCCCCGGGGGGCTCTGCCCCCCATTTCCCCGGAGCTGTCTCACGAAATAAACGTCCCCCCCATCCTCGTGTCCTGCATCCACGCCGGCTTCCTCCTGCTCCTCCTCCTCCTCCTCCCTGCAGCCGGCACCTTGGGGACCCCCACGGGGCGCAGACCCCATGCCCAAAGGAGCCCCATGGGGAAACTGAGGCACGGCGCATTTTCCTGTGTCCCCCCCCCCCACCCAGTTTTCCCGGCCCCCTCCGGGCTGTCCGCGCTCGGGGGCCGCCCTGTTTTCTCCCCTCTTTATTTCCCAAACAAGCCCTGGCCCCGTCCCCGCGCAGTTGTCAGGTTAAATATTTGGTGTGCCGCAGCCGAAAACAAAAGTGAAGGGGCCGCGGGGGCCGGGCCGAGAGGGTTGGCGGGTGCAGGGGGGGCCACCCCTGTCCCCGTGTCCCTTGGGTGCTGCCCGGGAGTGCGGGTGCCGTGCGGTGCCCGCCTGCAGCAGCGCCCCAGGCCGGAGGGAACCGCGCCCCCCCCCCGGGGATGGGGGCGAAGGGGGCGAGGGCGCTGGGTGCCCTGCGCCTGGCGCTGGCCCTGCTGCTCCTCGGCCCCCTCCCGCTGCCCCCCGTGAGGGCCCCGTCCGAAAGTAAGTGGCTGGGAGGGGGGCGGTGGGGATGGGGTGCTGGGGGGGGGGGGTGCAGGATTTGGGGTCATTTCGCTGCTCCCTAAGAGCTGAGGTCGTGCCTCGGTTTCCCCCCCCCGTGCCTCGGTTTCCCCCCTGTGGCATGGCCACGTCCTTCGGGGTTTGGGGTGGGGAGCTCTTTGGGGAGCCGGGATGGGGGCGTCCTGGGGGAAAAATTGGGGAGGGGGTCCCGTGGTGGGGTCGGGGGCCCTGTGGTGGGGTTGGGGGAGTTGCTTTCTTGTCCTCGTGGGGGTCGGGGGGGTGGAAGCGGCAGCTGAGCCCAGCGCCCTGGGTGCGTGACCCTAATGTGCTGGGGTCTGGCCAGGGAAAAAGCCCCAAAGGGCTCATATGGGGACCCCCCCCAGCTGCCATCCCAGTTTGGGATTGGTTTGAATGGGTTTGTCACTGGTGTAGCGGCGCGTCCTGCACCCCCCTCTGCCCCGTGCCTCAGTTTCCCCAGCAGGGTCGGGGACGGTGACGGGAAGGATGGGGAGGGCGAAGCAGCCAAAATCCGTGCTGAGAGGACTGCCCTGGGGATGCTCCTTGCCCCATCCTCACTGAGGGCACGGGGGACCCCAGCCCCCTTTTTGCACCCGGGGGTCCACAGTCCCCCTTCCCCTCGGTTGGTGCCAGCTCAGCCGAGGGCTCCAGTCCCTTTGCCAAGGTCACGGCGGTGGCAGCTCGGGGCCGGATCCCCTTGGGGCCGGCACCCTCAGCCCCACGGCACGATGGAGACCCCCATGTCCCGGGGGGCACCCTAGGGTGCTGGGGGGGGCTCTGCTGAACCCTGCCATGCTGGGCAGCTGCTGGGCCATGGAGCTCGGTGTGGCAGCCGGTGGCACCGCGTTGGCCGTGCCGTGGTGCCCGGTGTTTAGGGGACGCGCTGCGCCGGCCGTGTTTGCCCGGGGTGTTTACTGTAAATCCCTCTCCGGGTGTCTCCGCGCGATAACTCGGCGTCAGGTTTCAGCTCTGGGGACGCTGCCAGAGGGGAGCTGGCAGCTTCGGGAGCGGGGAGCGGGTGATGCTCAGCACCGGGTTGCCCCCCACCCACGATGCTCCCGCTCCCTATGGGGTATCCTACTGGGAAACCCATCGCCCCATCCCCGTGGGGCCGGCACGGCACGGCGCCAAGGGGTCAACGTGGGGGTGAGCTGGCATTAGGATGCCGTGCGGTTACCCCGAGCTGCCCCCAGGGCTCGGAGCCTCCCGTGGGGTGGGCAGGGGGCTCGGGCGTGCTTTTGGGGTGGGCGAGGAGCTCCCGGGGAGCCAGACCTCGTTAGCATCACCGCGGCCGTGCCGTGCCCCGAGGAGCTGCGGCGCGCCGGCTGCTTGTCACAGCCACTCGCGTCTGCCCCAGCTGCCCACGGGGACCGCAGGCAGATGCGCCAAGCGGGGGGGCGAGGACGTCAGCTACCCCCTGGGTGACACAGCCCCGGGGAGGGGGGGTCCCTTGGGTGGCGAGGCCGTCTGCCCGGGCCCCCCCGCTGCCCCCGGGTCCCCCTCTCGCCACCCCAGTCTGCGGCAGCATGGACATCCGCAACGACGTGTCCCAGCTGCAGAAGCTGGAGAACTGCTCCATCATCGAGGGCAACCTGCAGATCCTGCTGATGTTCACCACGGGCGCCGAGGATTTTCGGGGCTTCAGCTTCCCCCGCCTGCTGATGATCACCGAGTACCTGCTCCTCTTCCGCGTCTACGGGCTGGAGAGCCTGCGGGACCTCTTCCCCAACCTCTCGGTCATCCGCGGCACCAACCTCTTCTTCAACTATGCCCTGGTCATTTTTGAGATGCCGCACCTGCGGGACATCGGGCTGCACAGCCTCGGCCACGTCCTGCGCGGCTCGGTGCGCATCGAGCGCAACCAGGAGCTCTGCCACCTCTCCACCATCGACTGGGGGCTGCTGCTGCCCGACGCCGTGGACACCAGTTACATCGTGGGCAACAAACTGGCCGAGGAGTGCGCCGACGTCTGCCCGGGCATCCTGGACGTGGAGAAGCCGTGCGCTCAGACCAGCGTCAACGGGCAGCTGGATTACCGCTGCTGGACCTCCAGCTACTGCCAGAAAGGTGGGTACCTTGCTGGGAGCAAACGGGGGGGTCACTGGGAGGCACTGGGGAGGGCTGGGGGAGCTGCTGGGGATGGCGGGGCCGGGCACGTGGTTGTCCCTGCCCCGTCCCTGCCCCGGCGCAGCAGCGGCAGCGTGGCGGGGTAATCGGATCCGCGCTGTATCATCCTCCGGAGGCGAGGCCAGCTCCCAGCTGCGGTGTTTTCTCAGCGGCGAGGTAAATACGGGCCCCTCCCGGGCTCGTTTGCAGTAAACAGGAGGCCTGGTAATGAAATATGCACTATAAACACAGATCCTTATCGGGGCCCTAACCCCGGCCACGGCCCCGGCTGCGCCACGCGGCCCCAGGCTCGGCACGGTTTGAGCCCCCCCCCATCCATCCACCTGTCCGTCTGTCCGTCCGGGCAGCCCTCCCTCTGTCCATCCACCCACAAATTTGGCCATCCCTCCCTCCATCTCTCCATCTCTCCCTCCCTCTGCCCACCCTTCCCACCTCTACCCACCCATCCCTCCACCCCTCTCTCCTCGTGCCCCCGTGCCAGGAGGACGCCGGCAGCCCCCACCCCTCCCTACCCACCGCTTTCCCCCCTTTCCCCGTGCCACCCCCAAACCCTCTCCCCCTCCACGTTACCCCGGCTAACGTCCTCTCCCCGTGTCCCCTGCCCGCGGCGCCTTTCTCCCGCAGTGTGCCCGTGCGGCGTGGGCTCGGCGTGCACGGCGGGGGGCGAATGCTGCCACGCCGAGTGCCTGGGGGGCTGCGGGCGGCCCCGCGACAGCCGCTCGTGCGTGGCCTGCCGCCACTTCCACTTCAACGGGCACTGCCTGCCCTCCTGCCCCCCCCGCACCTACGAGTACGAGGGCTGGCGCTGCGTCACCGCCGAGTACTGCGCCAGCCTCCGCAAGGTGTCCGACAACCCCCGCGACGCCTCCAAGTTCGTCATCCACCAGCAGCAGTGCCTCTCCGAGTGCCCCCCCGGCTACACCAGGAATGAGAGCAGGTGGGGTGGGACCCCCCGGGATGGGAGACTTTGGGGTGGGAACCCACGGGATGGGAACCCATGAGATGGGAATCCTTGGGATGGGACCCCCTGGGATGGGACCCTTCGGGATGGGACCCCTCAGGATGTGACCCCCCGGGATGGGAACCCATGGGATGGGATCCCTTGGGATGGGACCCATTGGGGTTGGGACCCCCTGGGATGGGACCCCCCGGGATGTGAGACTTTGGGATGGGACCCCCTGGGATGGAAACCCTTGGGATGGGAACCCACGGGATGGGACCCATTGGGATTGGAACCATTGGGATGGGGACCCCCTGGGATGGGAACCCATGAGATGGGACCCCCTGGGATGGGAACTCATGGGATGGGAACCCACGGGATGGGACCCATCGAGATTGGAACCACTGGGATGGGACCCCCCAGGATGGGACCCCCCCAGGATGGGAACCTTTGGGATGGGAACCCCTGGGCTCAGAACCCCTGCAATGGGACCCCTTGGGATGGGACCCATCAGGATTGGAACCATTGGGATGAAAACCCCTCAGGATGGGGACCCCCTTGGATGGGAACCCATGAGATGGGACCCCTTGGGATGGGACCCTTCAGGATGAGACCCCCTGGGATGGGAGCCCCTGGGATGGGAGCCCTTGGGATGTGACCCCCCGGGATGGGAACCCATGAGATGGGACCCCTTGGGATGGGACCCATCAAGATTGGAACCATTGGGATGGGACCCCCCAGGATGGGAACCCATGAGATGGGACCCATCGGGATCGGAACCACTGGGATGGGACCCCCTGCGATGGGACCCCCCAGGATGGGAACCCTTGGGATGGGAACCCCTGGGCTCGGAACCCCTGTGATGGGACCCCCCAGAATGGGAACCCATGAGATGGGACCCCTCAGGATGCAACCCCCTGGGATGGGAACCCCCAGGATGGGAACCCATGAGATGGGACCCCTTGGGATGGGACCCATTGGGGTTGGGACCCCCTGGGATTGGAACCACCGGGATGGGACCCCCCCTTCCCGCCCAACCTGGGGTTGGTGATGGAGGGAGGTGGCTCCGTCCCCAGCCCATGTCCCCGTCCCCATCCCCGCAGCATCTTCTGCCACAAGTGCGAGGGGCTGTGCCCCAAGGAGTGCAAGGTGGGCACCAAGACCATCGACTCGACGCGGGCGGCGCAGGAGCTGGCGGGATGCACCCTGGTGGAGGGCAACCTCATCGTCAACATCCGCCGGGGCTGTGAGTGCCGGGTTTGGCCCCGAGCAGTCGGCTCGCTGTGCGGGAGCGCCGCCCGGCTCACAGCCGTGGGTTATCCCCAGATAATTTGGCCTCGGAGCTGCAGA